AGCAAAGGGTCTGAATATTTAGGACCATGTGATATTTCAGTTTTTCTTTTTTAATAAATCTGCAAAAATGTCAACAATTCTGTGTTTTTCTGTCAATATGGGGTGCTGTGTGTACATTAATGAGGAAAAAAAATTAACTTAAATGATTTTAGCAAATGGCTGCAATATAACAAAGAGTGAAAAATTTAAGGGGGTCTGAATACTTTCCGTACCCACTGTATATATATATATATAAATTATGTGATTAACAATCAGGACATGTCTCAGGCACGTCTTGCTTAATTTAATACTTCTCCCATTCTACATGAAGTTCTGTATTGTCAAATTTCTTGGAGACTGTGATTATGTATTTTGATCTGAAGGGCCACTGCATGCTTAAAAGGTTGGGATCCACTGATATATAAAACAAAAGTGTAACAATAATAATAAAACATGACAATGACTAACAATCTGTTTTAATGCAAAAGTATGTGCACGGAATAGGTAATTGTACATTACTCAGCTGTTACAACCCCTACACCAGTTCTTCGGTAACACTTGATTTTAGTATCCTTGTTGCATGTTACATGTAGTTACACAGTAATAACAGTAAATTATGCATAATTGCATGTAATTAGCCTGATAGTAATGTGTTAATTAATCATTCTCACTATTTAAATGTGCAATTAGGCCTACAGTAACCAATAGACTTCCATAGTATGAAAAAAAAGGAAGTTAATGGCTACCGTCAACTGTTCAGATACGAATGTTCTTTGTAATTGTCTATATATTCTTTTGTGCTCGACAGAAGAAAGAAACTCATACAGGGTTGGAACAATTTGAGAGTGAGTAAAGGATAGCAAGGGATTCTCATTTTGGGTGAACTGTTCCTTTAAATGACTGATATATGCAGCCATAAATATGCCCAACGATGAAATCACAGTCTGAACATTGTTTCAAACCTCAAGAGGCTTTAAGAGATAGATAGACAATCGACTATTCAGTTCTTACCGCCTTCGTCATGATGGGGTTGGACTGTGAAGAAAAAGAAAGGAGGGGCTGCATGGTTCTAAAATCCTAGAAAACTCTACTTGCTTTCTTGTTTTTGTCAGTGTAGCCTATTGTGGTACGAAATAGATTATTGGCCAGATTAATAAAAAACGCCGATTGTTTTTGAGGATAAATTGCACAATATGTCCTATTTGCCGTTCCTTGGGTGACACGTGGTTTGTTGGTCAGTAGGTCGACTGGTTTTTGGCGACGCAAGGTGGAATCCACCCTGCAGCAGCAGCAGCTCCTGACCGCCACGACAGCAAGAAGGCGAAGATCATTAGCCTAAAGCTTCCTCTCGCCTCCTCCCCGAAGCTGATGAGCACGCTCATAGAGTTGCAACTGCTTTTGAAGTGGATGGCATTATTCGTGCTCTTCGGACTCCTCATCCTCAGTCCACGAACTTCTGCGTCTTGCAGGGACGCGAGGTCGAGCAGAGAAGACGCCGAGCGCTTTCGGGTTGAACAAGCTGCGGCTTTCAGACCCAAACGACCTCCACATATCATCTTCATACTGACAGATGACCAGGGTTTCAATGACATCGGATATCACAGCAGAGACATCCGCAGCCCGACGCTGGATAAGCTGGCTTCAGAGGGAGTGCTCCTGGAGAACTACTATGTCCAGCCGCTGTGCACTCCTTCCCGCAGCCAGCTCATCACAGGCAGGTCGTTCACCTCATTGCCTTGTTCACACGATATGCAGAATGTCAAAAGTTCGTCGCAAGTAGCTTTTCCACAAGCTGAGATAAATACTGATATATATAGATGGTGTGTATACGCACAAACGCAATCATGACACCACAACAATGCAGTATAAACATGAATTAAACAGCATGAGATGTAACAGAAAACACTAATAAACATAACTGATTGCAAAAACTATTTAGAAAAAAGTTTTTAATATCAAATCTGAGCTGTCACACAGGGAGTTCTGGAAATGTTAGTTTATGTTTGTTTGTTTGACTGTATATTTGACATATTTGATCTGGAAGATATAGGTCAATTGACTCATGACCCTATAGAAAACAAGCGGTCAGTAGCCTATAGCGCACCCATAAATTAAAATTTGTTTAAAGTTTACTCACCCTCAGGCCATCCAAGATGTAGATGAGTTTGTTTCTTCATGGGAACAACGAGAACAAGAAATGTAGCATTCCATCACTTTCTCAGCAATGGATCCTCTGCAGTGAATGGGTGCCGTCAGAATGAGAGTCCAAACAGCTGATTACATAATCCACAAGTAATCCACTCCAGTCCATTAGTTAACATCTTGTGAAGCCAAAAGCTGCCTAATTTGTAAGAAACTAATCTAGGTGTTTTAACTTTAAACTATTGCGTCAGGCTAAAATATGCAGTCCATAATCTATAATAACACATCCTCTAGTGAAAAAGTCCTTGTCCTCTCACATCAAAATCCACATAGCTGTTTTGGTTGGCTTGATCTGTACATAGTTCTCTCCTGATTCAGACCAGATTACTTTTTTCACTGGAGAAACCAATATTATGGATAGAGGACTCATATTTTTGGATGAACTATTCATTTAAGGCATTTTTAAGACAAATGCAAACTTTTCAGAGAGAAAACAAAGACCACTAACTTCGTTGAGACTGAAAACAAGATTGCTATAAACATGCAACCTCACAAAAGCAAAAAATGTCAACACTGTTGCAGCCAAATTTGAACCTCAGTGCAAACACTACGTTTCAAGTGCGTATTGCTTTAGTGAATCACCTTTATTAACTGAGCTTCAGATTTGTGTCACATGTGCATGTATGTTTGTGCTTTGTTCTGATTTGACAGTTGTCCTTTTATAAAGCTGCATGTTCCTGGAAAAGATTCCAAGACATCGGGGATTGATTTCTATCCGGATTGTGACAAATAAAGGGGAATAGTCCAAAAATGGATGTTAATGTAACACTTATTGTATTTGATAAGGAGGTCAGAGAGAAAACAAAGACCACTAACTTCGTTGAGACTGAAAACAAGATTGCTATAAACATGCAACCTCACAAAAGCAAAAAATGTCAACACTGTTGCAGCCAAATTTGAACCTCAGTGCAAACACTACGTTTCAAGTGCGTATTGCTTTAGTGAATCACCTTTATTAACTGAGCTTCAGATTTGTGTCACATGTGCATGTATGTTTGTGCTTTGTTCTGATTTGACAGTTGTCCTTTTATAAAGCTGCATGTTCCTGGAAAAGATTTAGTCCTTTGCTGTTTTCCAAGACATCGGGGATTGATTTCTATCCGGATTGTGACAAATAAAGGGGAATAGGTCAAAAATGGATGTTAATGTAATACTTGTTGTATTTGATAACGAGTATGTAGACACAATAATATTCACTGATCAATTGTGCACCATAAGGGGCCGATCACACAGAACACGTTTTTCCATTCCAATGCGTATTATATATAGTTTTTCTATGTAAACACACACTAGATGGATGTGTATGACTGTTGCGCTTGCGTCTTGAATCTTTTGCAGCGTCTCTCACACGTGAGCGCCATGTTTTTAAGACGCCGTGTCAAGTTTTTACATGCAGGACCGCTCATTAATTTCAGTTCCAAAACAGTGGACCAATCAGAAGACCCCGAAGGCGGGGCAAGCGTTGCAACCTTTTGTTCACAGTAACAAGTTGCATGGCAACTGTTTTATTTGACAGCAACATGGCGAAGGAGGCATTCTGCGCTGTGCTTTTTAAAAACTATTCCTGAGCGCTGCATCTCTCGTTTTTAGGTGCAAAGACGCGTTCTGTGTGAATGGCCCCTAAGACTTAGAATGTTTATTCATAAAGTAAATAGGGTCAATTTTGAGTTCATGAGAGGCGTAAACAAGACCTTTTTGTTTCAATTCTTGTTTTTTCCTCTGTGTCTAAGCATTGGGAATTGATTTATGATTTCTTTAGATATCAAATACACACTGGCCTCCAGCACTCCATCATCAGACCACGTCAACCCAGCTGCCTCCCTCGGGATGTGGTCACACTCCCTCAACGCTTACAGGAAGCCGGTTACTCCACTCACATGGTGGGGAAGTGGCATTTGGGCTTCTATCGTAAAGATTGTTTGCCCACACGTCGTGGATTTCACACCTACTTCGGTTCATTGACCGGCAGCGTAGACTATTATACGTACGGCTCATGCGACGGCAAGTCATTATGTGGCTTTGACCTCCACGAAGGTGAGTCAGTGGCATGGGGGAAAGGGGGGAAGTACTCAACTCACCTCTACACCCAGAGAGTGCGCAAAATCTTAGCAACACACGACTCAACCAGTCAGCCTCTTTTTATCTTCCTTTCCCTTCAGGCGGTGCATACACCTCTAAAGCCACCCAAAGAATACATCTATCCGTACCGCCGCATGGGCAACGTTCCCCGCAGGAAATACGCAGCCATGGTTTCTATCGTTGACGAGGCAGTCCGGAATATAACTTACGCGCTGCGAAAGTATGGCTTCTACCGTAATAGCGTCGTCATCTTCTCCACCGACAATGGAGCTCAGCCATTAACAGGGGGCAGTAACTGGCCCCTACGAGGGTGCAAGGGGACATATTGGGAAGGTGGCATTAGAGGAGTGGGTTTCGTGCACAGCCCCTTGATACGCCATCGAAGAAGGGTCAGCAGAGCCCTTATACACATTACTGACTGGTATCCAACCCTAATTGGACTTGCTGGGGGCAATGTGTCGCAGCATCAGGGATTAGACGGGTTTGATGTTTGGCCTACCATTAGTGAAGGAAAGGAATCCCCAAGACTGGAAATTCTTCACAACATCGACCCTCTTCATCGGCGCAGTTGGGGCTCGTTGAAGGACGGCTATGGATTGTGGGACACCACCGTGCAAGCGGCCATCAGAGTGGGCGACTGGAAGCTTTTGACGGGCGACCCTGGCCATGGGGATTGGGTGCCGCCCCAGGTGCTTACAAACTTCCCTAGCAGCTGGTGGCACCTGGAGCGACAGATTGAAAAAAAAAGAAAATCAGTTTGGCTCTTCAATGTTACAGGCGACCCTTGTGAACGGCATGACCTTGCAGCGAACAGGCCTGACGTCGTCAAGGAACTGCTAGCACGGCTAGCGTTATACAATCGCACTGCAATACCTGTTCGCTACCCGCCAGATGATGCCCGCGCTAACCCCAGTTTGAATGGCGGTGCATGGAGACCTTGGGTGAGCGAAGACGAAGAGGAGGAAAACTGGGATGGAATTTATTACAAGAGAGGAAAGAATCGCAAAAGGAAGAAATGTAGGCTCTGCAAATTACAATCATTCTTCAAGAAGCTTAATTTAAAGATCATGTCAAAACAAATACAAGATTCTTCTGCTATTGGACATCATGTTTAAGAGCTGGAAAGGAATAGTACACCCAGGACATCCAAGATGCGGGCGAAGAGAAATTAAGGTTGTAGAGGAAAACATGCTCCCCAAAGACTATTTTCGACAGTCCAAAATCCATATTTAGACCGTTTAAAAGTAATCTACACGACCCCAGCTGATAAATAAGGGTTGTAATGTAAATTATATACTTTTTATCTACAAATGCTTGCATTGGTCAAGTTTGGCTTAGTTCACGACCTCTTGTCTGCAAATTGAAGCATTTACTTGGTCACCTTTCTTTTAAGCTGATGTCAATAGTTGTGTGGTATAACATGTCTAAAAATACAAATATCTCTCAATTTATGTGAACTTATAAAAACTGCATGTGTATAAGAATTATACTACAATTGTACTGACAAATGCTGTTTACAGTAGTTTGATTGTCTTTTATTTCTTTTGAGAAAATAAAAGGTCAAGTTAATGCAATGTTGCAACATTTGGTGAAATTATATGAACTGTGAAACTATATTACAACAATGGTTTGAGCACCTGCAGACCTCTGTTGTTTGCATCCTATTTGCGTCAGACTATAATGCAAAATTCAAATGCCCAGCTGCTGAGCACCAGGAGACTACGAGGAGGCCAGGGCAGGACATCATTACATTTCAACACTATATTACAAGTGCAAGCTGTTTTTCAGGCCCACTGGATATCTTATATAGTATGAAAACAAATCCCCTGTAGCACTGGCATTGGTGGATGGATGATAAGGTCTTGGGGTCAGGCCCAATACCATTTAGGAACCTCATGTTGGAACTGTATCAAAGATCAAAGATTTCCACAAACCACCCTCTGCCCACAAATGCATTCTGTGGAAGCATGAGACAAATCAGGGACAACCAACCTCTCTTTGTTGAATGGAGGAACACAAGAGAAGTGCTGATGTGCTCCTCCTTATTTTCAGCAAATGATTGGATGGACAATAGACAGAAATGGCTGTTTCGATTCTTGTTACAGTTTCAAATTCAGTGGTGTTGGGAAAAAAATGTGCAGATGTGTTCATATTTTATGCTGTTATTTTTCATGAATATATTCATGAATATATGATTTTGAAATACGTTTTTACACAGAAACATGGAGGATGTATGAGTGGATGTATCTGATGACCTCATTGGGTATTCAGTGAAAAAATAAATTTTTGCTTACCTTTAAAAAGACTACTTATTATTACACTTTAAAATAACAAAATGTAATGTTTTCAGACCCTTAACTGCATGTTGTTTACAATTAAATGAAAGTTTATAGTTTGTTATTAAACTTTTGTAATGAAGTTGCAATTTTGTAAAATACATTCAATCAAGTAACACTACAGAAAAAAATATAACCAAGTACTTTACACATGCTTTAAAATGTTAGTCAACACTTAAAAATAAGTGTGCTTAAAGCACAATAAAAAAATTCATATTCAAAACAATTAAGTACACTTCTTTGTCAGAAGGTGCTCTCTCTTGCTTTATCACTTTGCAGATTATGCAGCGGTGACTACATTCATGCTTCACCTGCAGTTGGCTACACAAAACAATAAGCAAAACAAAACAGAGGGAATATAGGAAACTGTACGTTTTGGAGCTTGCTGATTGAATGCCTCCTCTAGCTCCTTCTGCTTCTCACAGTACAGAAGGACACTTATCATGCATGACACAAACCAAAGCCATCACACAATCCAGATGTGCTTTCAGAAGAACATGCAGTGTGTGATGTGCCTCTATGCTTCCTGGCAAAACAACACTGCTTACTAGTTCACCCAAAAATAAAAAGGCTGAAAATGTCCTCACCCTCAGATCAACCATTTGTTTCTTCATCAGAACAGATTTGGAAACATGTAGCAGAAGCTTTTTAAAGAGTTCACCCCAAAATGAAAATTCTGTCATCATTTATTCACCCTCAAGGTTTTCTAAACCTGTATGTGCTTCTTTCTTCTGCTGAACACAAAAGAAGATATTTTTAAGAATGTCGGTCTGGTCCCCACTGACTTCTATAATATTTAATAAGGCTACCAGCAATTGTTTGATTGCCAACATTCATTAATTTGTGTGTGTGAGTGTGTACATGTTATCCTATCCCGGTGGGGACTTAAACATGAATACACATGGGGACTCATGGGAACTCTTGTCACCATGGGGACCTAAATTGAGGTCCTCATGGGGAAACAAGCTTATAAATGATACTGAATGAGTTTTGTTTCTTCTTTCTTTCTCTGAGAATGTAAAAATGCAGAAAGTTTTCTGTGAGGTGTAGGTTTAGGTGCAATGATTGGTGTAGGGCCATAGAAAATATGGTTTGTACAGAATAAAAACCATTACACCTATGGAGAGTCCCCACAAGGATATAAACCAGACTGTGTGTGTGTGTGTGTGTGTGTGTGTGTGTGTTTGTGACAAATGAGGACATACATTTGTATAATAACAAAGGTATGACATAGGTATTACAAGGAGAAGGTGCCTTTTCAGGACATTCCCCCATGCCCCCACTTTTCAAAACGCTTATAAATCACACAGAATGGAGTGTATTGAAAATCTGAAAAAGCACAAAGTCTCCTGTGAGGGGTAGGTTTAGGGGTAGGGTTGGTGTAGGGCAATAGAATATACGGTCTGTACAGTATAAAAACCATTACGCCTATGGAGAGTCCCCATAAACCATAAAAACAAACCTGTGTGTGTGTGTGTGTGAATAAGTGTAAATAGGGCTATGAAAACTGTTCATACAGTTGTATTATATTATGTAAACAAATACAAACTAAATACAAATCAGTGAAGTCTGTTTTTTGTTTTTGTTTTTTTTGCAATTTGTCTTTATCATTCATTTATATTGCAGCTAATTTACTTATTATGTATTTATTTTATGCATTTATGCATTCATTACATTATTTTATGCATTTATTCTGTACAGTTTTTACCTGACTACCCAAAATAAATAATAAAATGGAAATAAATTGATAAAGCAACTTAATAGTGTACCACATTGTAAGCATTAAAACAGGATTTAGCTTTAGGTGTGATTTCGCAGTTGTCCTGCAGGTGACTGCATGAGACTGTCTGGGCACTGAATCTAAAACCATTTTCAACCACTGCTTACGTTACGATTATAATTTTTTTATTATTATTATTTTTTAAAACAATCTGTAATCCTAACATGATTCGTAGGATCGTTTCTTTAGTACGACCAATACTTAAAGCCTAAGACCTGCTTTTTGGAAACACGGTCCTGCTTATTATTTAGCCTAAATTCAGTTGCAGCCATCTCAATGCATTAGCACATCTAAATGAAGGTACAACATTACATTTGAAAAATGATTTCACTTGTTAGGACATGCTTTATTGTAGCTATTTAATTTGTTATAAGTTGCTGCAATTGTGTAGCCTTTGTTATCTGCTAGCTACTAAATAAAGCAAGCCCAATAGGCATTTCGTTTTTAAAGCTTTTATTAATTTCTAAATTAAATATATTGCTTCTGATAAGGAGGAACACATTCCGATTCTCATAACAATTTAAACAAGCATAGTTTTGTTTCCCCCCTTTTTAATTTTACTGCGTTTTGTCAAAATGTGTAAGCACTGAGCTTGTTCTTTTGAATGGTCGAAGGAAAAAAGTGTCATGCCTCGTAAATACATGTATAAGTTAACATAATTGAACTTCAGCACAAGGGCAACGAGACCTTTGCTTTGTCCTCGCATTATTATCAATCATCAGCGTGACACTCTTGCTCTGTTTAGGTTTGCTTTTCCATCCAAACTCATCATATGATCATTTTAAACGGGACTTGTGCTTCCACAGCTGCAATTTACACTGTGCAAAACAACATTTTTCTATCATTTTAATCAACATTAAAATTCATATTTGTTAATAGATTTACATAATTTTGATTTGTAGTTCATATCAACCATCACAGTCGATGCCGATATTCTCTGAAGATGTATTTATTTCCAAATGCTCTTCCAATTTCAAACACAAGGAAGTCACACTTGGACGTGAAATGTAACCCCACGCATCTAAATCCTCTCAGATCGCTTTGAACCCTTTTTCTGCTTCTGAACCGAGCAAAAATCGTTTGCATTATTCTGTTTCCTCGAAGTCTTTTACTTTGGATCGCAGAAACATGTTTATTTACTGGTGTGCCTAATGAACTTTTTTCAGATGGTGACATGAACCTATATTATATGCCTATTCTTACGCTCTAAAAAATACTGGGTTGTTTCAACCCAACTTTGGGTCCAATATGGACTAACCCAACCGTTGGGTTGAATTTTTACATTAAATTTTTAACCCAAAAGTTGGGTTAGTCCATATTTGACACAAAGTTGGGTTGAAACAACCCAGCATTTTTTAGAGAGTAGAGTTGAGTGGTAATGTTTAAAGTGAGGAGGAAAGGCATGAGTCAAATATGGACTATGGACAAACTAATATCTCTCCGCAAAGAGAAATGACTGAATCCTGAAGGACAGCTTGATGAATAGATTGATGAATCGTGTGTATATTAAGTAACTCATTTTAAGATATAGGTCAGTAAAAATATGTAAACCACTCAAAATATAATAAAGTATCTTCCATGTTGTTATCTTATCAATAGGCAACCGTTTTCAAGCCGAACAGTGAAATAAAAGCTACTACGGTTGTACAATTATTAGCCCACAAACACACACTTGTTTGTCTTTGCAACATGAACACAATCATAAATATTATTGATCAGCAGCGACCCAAAGTTGGGTTGAAACAACCCAGCATTTTTTAGAGAGTAGAGTTGAGTGGTAATGTTTAAAGTGAGGAGGAAACGCACGAGTCAAATATGGACTATGGACAAACTAATATCTCTCCGCAAAGAGAAATGACTGAATCCTGAAGGACAGCTTGATGAATAGATTGATGAATCGTGTGTATATTAAGTAACTCATTTTAAGATATAGGTCAGTAAAAATATGTAAACCACTCAAAATATAATAAAGTATCTTCCATGTTGTTATCTTATCAATAGGCAACCGTTTTCAAGCCGAACAGTGAAATAAAAGCTACTACGGTTGTACAATTATTAGCCCACAAACACACACTTGTTTGTCTTTGCAACATGAACACAATCATAAATATTATTGATCAGCAGCACGTATAACTAACTATACAATCTAAAATATCAGCTTCAAGACGCCACACATTTCAGTTTGTCTCACACGGTTCACGTCACTTTTGTCCAGGTGTCAAATGTTTTCATTTCATTTTTTTTTTTTTTTTTCGGACAGGTCATGATTTTATGGCCGTATGTTTGAGATGTTTTCATATCATAAAAGCTGATAGGAGACATCCTGAAATAATTTGGTATATTAGTGCCATCTCTGTCCAGTTTCTCCTTGAAAACGGGCTCATCGACACTAAGAATTGTCTGAGAAACGGCTTCTGGATTTGTAGTATTAAATGCTTTGAAAGTCCAGGTGAAACTGTCCCGGTCTTCCCTGCAGAATACAGAAAATACAGCCACGCTCACTGTCACTGAGGATTACGTCATTTAACAACACATTTTTTAATTCGATAGTATAAAATGCTTTACCAGTAAAAGAAAAAAAGTATATATATATATTTGTGTGTGTGTGTGTGTGTGTGTGTGTGTGTGTGTGTGTGTGTGTGTGTGTGTGTGTGTGTGTGTGTGTGCACGCGCGCGCTACCATAAAATAATCCGCTCTAATCTTTCATTTCGTTTTGCGCCAATGCCTGTTCCATATCTGTGTAAAGTTCATAAAAGCATTGATCTTATTTTTTAAACAAAAATAATAATTATGATAATTATAATAATAAATACTATATATATAAATAATAATTATAATAATTATAATAATAAATACTATATATATATATATATATATATATATATAACAATTACATTTATATTGTATAGCACTCACTGTCACTGTACTAATAATATAAAAAATGTGATGTGATATAATCAGTGCTGTCTAGAAATGTAACGTTTAAACCATGCATACCGCGTAAAATCTAAAATGATTATTTTACGACCACGATCTTTGCCTTATTCGCACTGTAGACATTGTTATTTGTTTTGAATCAACTGATAATCGAATGTCGTGTGTTATATACACCGATATAACTTTATGTATATAGATTACAATAATATAGTTTTGAAAAATGTAG